GGTGTTTGCACGATTTATGCCCAAATTAGATATACAGTTGATTAAACGCGTTATTCTCGCGCCTTCGCCGTGGCAAAGCAGCGCGAAGAGACGATCGCGAGCCGTCTGTTTCACGCGCAAAGTCCACGCATCTTATTAGAAAAAGAGCGAAAAGCTACGAAGATCCTCGCGGAATGTGTGAAGAAGCGATTCACTCGTTAAACTCCTCGTCACTGGCAAGTCGATACGGTGTGAATGCCCTGTTCGCCGATGGTAAACGCCAATTTTATACTTCTTCCCGGTGTAACGAAAGAGAAAATAAGGGAAAGTATATATCGAGATCCACGGGGAAAAACGACGCGCGAATCAATCATTTCGCGTTGCATCGATGAAACGGGCATGCGTGATATTTAAGGCTCGTTTCCACCGTCTTCGACGGCTGATATCCTTCCCTTGCGAATCAAGCGACCGTTCGAACGTCCATCGTTCCTCTGGCTGTCGTTCGTGCCCGTTCGAAAAGTCGGGCAACGTAGAAAGCGAACGTTTTTTTTTTTTTTTTCTAGAAAATACAACGGAATGATCGTGGAATGATCGACATACCGGCAAGAACGATCGTTCGAACGTCGTTTGCTTTCTTATTTTTCTCGTTCCTTCAATTTCGATCGACGAAGAATTCGTGGAAGAGTAACGTACCACTAAAGGGGAAATAATGTTCGACAGTGCGTTTATAGGTGAAAAGTCGATAGAGAAAAGAAAGAATCGAAGCGGCCAAGGCGTAGAAAATAAAGAACGATCGGTAACGAAGCCTGGAATAGTCGGTGCCGTTTGAAGCTTTCCCTCTTTGCAGCTATGCACGCGTATTATTCGACCGTTTCACTCTGTTCCCGAGAGTTGTAAGTACTTTGGAGGAAAAGAACGGGAAAAGAAGAAGCTCGATAGAGCTAGGAGAAAAGCGGTAGATTGGTAGAAGAAACTAACGACGAATGGGAGGCGTTCACGGCCCGGAGGCGCGATAAGAAACGGGAAGTAATCTACGACAAAAGTAACAAGAAACAAAAGATTACGAATTGCACTTGGGTTGGTCTCGGGCTCGCGAGCCGCGCTTTAATTAAAAAGTATAAAAAACAAGCTACATTAAAAAAGAAAAAAGAAGAAAACGTACGTATATCGAAGAAATTGATTCGTAGTTCGTGCGTTTTTACTTGAAATTAATCGATAACCTTAACGAATACGTAACGATGATGGTAATGGTAATGATGATGACGATGACGATGATGATGATGATGATGATGATGAGGACGATGATGAGGACGATGATGACGATGGAGTAATAATAAAAATGAGGATGACCCGAATGACGAGGACGCGTAAGGACGATAATGATAACGATATCGATGATTTAACGACTCGTGATGACAATGACAACGACAATGCGAAAGATGGGGATGATAATGATAAGTACTACGTACATTAACCTATTAACAAACGCACGATTGTGTTCGCGTTAACGCAGACACGCCCACATACCATACGTATTTAACAACGTGATATACTTTACCCGATACCTATATTTACGAGTGATGTAAATTTTTTTAATGGTTCACGGACTAACTAATGTTCTTGTAACATATATAGACGGCACTAGTAATAGAGATAATGTTTCTAATGATGGTGATTACACACGTTAAACGCGCTTGTGTGCGTGCGTGTCTGTATTTCATCGCGAACGCATGCCCGTCGAATTCACAGACTTTCTCTTTTCGAATAACAATAGTAATAGTATTAGTAGTAGTAGTAGTAGTAGTAGTAGTAGCAATAGTAGTGGTAGTAGTAGTAGTATTAATAATAATGATAATTATAAAAATAGCGGCAATAATTCTACTAATAATAGCGGATAATAAAAATAATAATGTAACTATCAATGTTAATAAAAATATCAATCCTAATCATCTGAATAATAATAATAATAATAATAATAATAATAGTAATAATGACAAACGTAACAGCAATTAATACGCGTAAATAAATCAATGAGTCTCGTCGTTAGCGTTACACGCATAGAGCTAAAGCGGAACAAGCGCTTCGTTATTACGACGATTGCCGTCGTAATCAGAAAATAAAATTCGCCGGAACGATTAAGTATGCCCTATTTACGATCGATCATGGTCGATCAGTGATACAAGATAAAACGGCGTAAGACGGCTCGCTCTCGCATCGACGTTTCTTTCCTCGCGACATTTTTTGAAAATTCGAAGCAACGAGACGAAGGCACGTATCGCGCCGCCTTCGAAGCTTCATCGTATAGAGAGCACTCGGTTTTTTTAATTAATCGTAGGGAAAAAAAATCGCTAGACGAAGCTCGGCTCGTGTGCACCTTTCCTTATTTTCTCTTTGATCCGGTGTTCTTTTCGTATCGAGAGGTTCGCTCGAAGGGTCCCGCGTCTTTCTCACAGCCACGCTAACGCGGTTCTCAGTCAACGATTTCGAAGAACGTTCTTTCCTCCCCCCGCGCTGCTTTCCGACGATCACCAAACGACGATTATCGCAAAATCTCGCGTTCCCTCTATACTTCCTTTTTTTTTTTTTGTTTTGTTTTAAGAGCATATAAAAAGTCGTGTGGCACATTGACGGTTGGAATGTTATCATCGTTTCATTAAATTTATAATAAGAATCATAATAATTAATAATAGTAGTAATATAGTACTTCTTTGTGTTGTTAATAATATTCTTTTATGTATGTTTAATAATTAATTAATTAATTAATAATAATAATATAATAATATATATTTATATATATAATATATATAATATGTACCTTTTTTGTTTACTATAGTAGTTTGTTTCCTCTGCACTTATCGTTTATATTCTGTGCTGACTGCGGGTTTTGATTTGAGGGGACTTTCACCCGGTCCCGATCGTCCGACGCCATATTTATAACTCGTCGATCGTTCCCCGAGCCGGCGATCGTAAAAACGAAACGAACCGAATCGGAACGACTCGACCGCGTTATTTGAATAATCATCGCGCCGAGACGATACGGGCTACCAAGTGATCCTTGCTTATTATTTTTTTTTTTTATTTTTTGCATTGCTCTTCGTGGCATCTGCGTTTGCGTTGATCACTGTTGGATAATATGAGATGTATAGATTTTTAGTAGCTGTACTTGTAACTCGGATGCACGGCGATCGTAGCGAGTGGTCGCACGTAGCGACGAACTCGCGATCGCGACGTGCTCTGCTCAGACAGAGAGAGATGTCTATTGTTGCTGCTTGTGTGTTGCTGGTTGCATTGTTCTCGGTGCCCGGGTGAGTATGCAACCCGTGGCACGGCGCAGGGAAACGATCGGACGGTCGCGGCGCCATCGGTTCGAACGGAACCTGCTCTTCGATCGGTCGAGCTGTTGCTTTCTCTTTATGGATACGTTCCACGGGACTCGCGAGAAAATTCGTCGTATTTCGTGTCCGTAGACGAAACTACTCGTATCGACAGCGATACGATCGCAACGAATTTTCGTCGTGATTCCGGTAAAGAAAGACGCGCGACATGTCGAATCCGAATGACGCCCGTCACGAACGCACCCCGCTTTAAACTGTAAGGAGACGACTGGTATCGGGAGGCTGCAATATTGTTGTAGCTGTATGTAGAAAGCAGACTGCGTGTATTGTTATACTTCTGGTGTTCGTTTAGCGTGTCACTGAGTGTGCGTGTGTGGTCGGAAATGCGGGTGAATTTTTCAAATTGCTAAAGGTTGTCCGGAGGGGTTGTTCGTGTGGATGGATGACGATCTGTCCAATGGGATTTCGGTGCGGAGGGGATCGGAGCGTGGGGATTTTACATTCGGTTTGGATTCTTTAGTTTTCTTTTTTTTAATCTTCTTGTCCTTAATTACCTCTTTCGCTTTCGATCGGTTACTTTAAACTTTAAAAACTTTGTAGCGCATCGGAACGCGCCCGGTCTCGCCGAGAGTTTCGGCGGGACGCAGTGATCGTCAAGGCCGGAACAACGAACTGCAGCTCGAAGACGAAGAAAAAACGCGAAAACGGTTGGCTCCTCGAAGAGGTCTCTCGTATACGTAACGCGCCGCTCGGACGTGTCTTTTGATTAATTCACCGGCAGTTCAGCGTACTTGGTCCGTAACTAGTTGGTCGTACTTTGAAGTTCCGGTGCGTATGATTTCAGAGTGATTTTGGTACAAACAGGTTTGATTGAAACACCGAGTCACCACCGTTGTTCCAACGTTCCGAGATTCGTTGGCGAGCCGATTCGATCGGTCGTTTCATAGTCATACGTGATCGCCACTTCTTTTCATCGATTCGACGAGTTTTCCTATCGATCGACTCGTTCCTTCGTAGTTCCAGTCGGACGTTTCCAACCTTGACGTTTTGCGCGGCGAGGCCGGGCATACACAGTGACAATATAGAAAAACGGAAAGAAACGAAACAACACGATATACAAACAACTAAAGCGCCAAACTACGAGTACTACCGGTGCTAACTACGTAGTACCAGCGCCATTTTTTCCTAACGCCTACTAGTCGAAAAGTCTAGGCATAGTCAGTGTCGAGACCGACCGCCTCCGATCTGGCCCGCCACCTTCGCGGAAATGAGATCCGCGACCGACGAGGACGCATCGCTCTAACCGCAAACAAGACCGACTCAGTTCGCTCCTTAAACCTCGAAATAGGAACATGAAAGTAATTTCGATTCGTATATGGAACAAGAAGTAATTGTACTTTAAAGAATACATCACCTTTTGATGGACGAATAATACCTTTGTTTCACGAACTTCGTTTTCACCCGTTGACGCTCGTACGGACGCAGCAGCGATCGCGCGCTTTCCCTTTTCTTTTCTCTTTTCTTTTTTTAATTTGCTTCCATTTCTAAATATTTTCCCTTCTTACTTCTCAAAATCTAACGATGCGAAACTCGAAATTTAAACCGATTAACGTTAGTTAGCCGAGCAGCCAGTCGATGTCGGCGAATCGCGCAACCATTATTTTGTTATAAAATATTCGACAAAGGTTGAATAAAAATCCCGATAGCCTCTAACACTTGCTTCTACCGAGCACCGACCGATCGCAGCTGTCTCTCCGCGGGTGTCGAATCGACGAGCACCCATCGGCCGTGGCGTCACGCGTAAATCTTAACCCGCGCTAAGAGGTTTTCCCAAACTGCGGCGCGAGATAAACTATCGCTAGAAACGTGCGTGTCTGTGTGTGTGTGTATGTATGTGTGCCCGAGAATGAAAAAAGACGTTTACTGCGGCAGCGAGAACGGATGATTTCGCGTAGCTCGTTCATTCCCAGCTGTCGCGAGAGAGCTTTGCAAAGAAATCGCTGTCAGTCGCAATACGAGGAGGCTCCGCGATTCGGGCTGATGTCGGAGGCGTGGTCGAGCACTGGCTTTCCCCGTCTTTGCCATTCTCGCGCTCAAATCTTCCGATTCTTTTTTTTCTTTTTTTTTTCGTCGTATATCTATCTACCTATCTATTTAGATTCCTTCCTTTGCGCGTGTGCCGTCCGTGTGAAGTTACGCGGACAGCGCACGGGCGTACGCGTTAGAAGTTTCCATAATTATATTTCGGTGTCGAGAGCCGGACGTCGAATCGACGCCTTGTCGACTTTGTTCGCCCATTTTGAACACAAATCGGTAAGTTCCAGCGTCGCGTCACATCGCGCCGTTTAGCGTATACGAATTCGCGGAAGATTCGACCCACCGCTTCAGGGACGACTTCCCGCCTTTTAAAGTCATTGCATGACTAGAGCCTACGAATTACGAGCTTATTAAAGCCAATTAGAAAGGTACCAAGTTTTCCACCGTTAACGGACCGTACCATCTCGGTTTCTACGTTGGTTCAGGCGGTAATTTATCTACTCTCTTTGGCCCTTCTCGATCCTCGGCCGTGCGCGTCGTTCTTCGTTTTCCTCCTTCCCTCTTTTTGATTCGATCGAAAGACATCCGAAAAATTGCCGGCAAAAATTGATCCAGGTAATACAGCTTAGTTTTCGATCAAGCGATTAAATTTCCCAACGTCTTTGTACAATTGTCCACGAGACATCGAACTGGATATCCGTCGAAGAAAGACGCGAACGTTCGAAGATAGAGAAAACGGCGTATCATACTTTGTCGTCGAATCGACGTCGGCTGCTTCTTGCAGTGTATGCGAGTACGTGTACGTGTTCTATGTAATATGGTAACGTATGTCTGTGTGTGTGTGTGTGTGTATGTGTGTGTGTATGTACGCGTGTTCGTCCGTTTATCATATGTATGTTGTACGTGTTATTCTTATGTGAACGACAGGCCAGCTCTTCGTTGATCACGAAAATCCCAACATTCGAGAATGCGTGAATTGAAAATAGAATTTAAAAACACGGTAACCTAGCGCGTAACAGTTCGTTTTCTTCATTTTTTCTTCGACGTCTGTTTGACGTGTACGTGTGTGGGAGTGTAAATGCGTGTCGAAGAGTGTTTCTCGCGCATGTGTGTATGCGTGCGTGTGTGTTCCTGGGTTTTGTATGTGTGTGTGTGCGTGTATGTGTGTGTCATCAAGAGTGCGTTGTCTTTGTGTGTGGCGTCAGTGTACCTAATTGCACTTATTCGACAAAACGGAACGTAAAAATGAACGCAAGATGGCGGCCGGACGGCCCTGGAACGTATACGGAGGTAATATACTTTTAAAATTTAGCTTTAAGGTCGCCCATCTCTATTTTTTTTTTTTTCCACTTTTCATTTTTGTTCTTTTGCCTCTATCCCGTTCACTGCCTCCTGACTTTAAACCAACCCCACCATAGAACTAAAACTTCAGTTTGCTGCTACGGTATTACATTCGTCGTTCGTTCTGTTGCGAGTCGTAAAAACGTAACGTCGAAACTTAGGCACAATTTGGAACTGTTTAGACCATTTCTACACGACCCCACCCCGACGGTGTTCGCGCGTCTACCGTTCGAAGAAACTGATTGGCCAATTTTCAATCGATATTTCGTCAGTCTTCTCCGGTTAAGTTCTAAGGTTCGATAATCGTTACGAGGTTCGACTTGTTTCTTTTTTCTTCTTCTCCTTTTCTTCTTCCTCTCTTTTTTTCTTTTTTTTTTTTTTTTTTTTTTTTTTTTTGTTTTTTTTTTTTTTTTTTTTCTTCTTTTGTTTTTTTGTTTTTCTTTTTTTCTTCTTTTCTCTTCTCTCTTTCTTTTTTTTTTTCGGCCCTGGAACGTATACGGAGGTAATATACTTTTAAAATTTAGCTTTAAGGTCGCCCATCTCTATTTTTTTTTTTTTCCACTTTTCATTTTTGTTCTTTTGCCTCTATCCCGTTCACTGCCTCCTGACTTTAAACCAACCCCACCATAGAACTAAAACTTCAGTTTGCTGCTACGGTATTACATTCGTCGTTCGTTCTGTTGCGAGTCGTAAAAACGTAACGTCGAAACTTAGGCACAATTTGGAACTGTTTAGACCATTTCTACACGACCCCACCCCGACGGTGTTCGCGCGTCTACCGTTCGAAGAAACTGATTGGCCAATTTTCAATCGATATTTCGTCAGTCTTCTCCGGTTAAGTTCTAAGGTTCGATAATCGTTACGAGGTTCGACTTGTTTCTTTTTTCTTCTTCTCCTTTTCTTCTTCCTCTCTTTTTTTCTTTTTTTTTTTTTTTTTTTTTGATTCGAACGAATTTCTTCGAAAATTATAACGCACGAAAGAAACGAATGTAGGAAGAGTTTTCAGTGGACGGCCATCCAATTTTACTTCGGCAACCGAAACACGCGAACATCCCCTACGCAAACCATACCAAACGTGACGATACTCTGTGAGGTAGCTGACATTGAGCCGTTTCAGGGCCAATCGGACCAAATCTTCCAGTTTTTGGAAACACCAACCACCCGAAATGATCGTCGTTGCTCGATGTTGCGAGGCTGACGAACAAAGAAACAAATTATACGATAAACGATTGAATTTCGACGATCGAGAGTCTAGACTTAAAATTTCAAGCGAAAAGATCATTTATTCTCTCTTCCTTCTCGTTTTTACTTTTATCCTGCGACGTAATTCCGGGAACGAGAAGAAAATCGCTGTTGGTATTCGAATGTTCTCGTTTGCCCGCGATGAAACGGAAAACGCGTAACGAAAATATATGAAAGCGATGAAAAAACGAGAATCTTTGGGCCCGATTTTCCGAGCAATGCCCGCCATCTTGGTCCCGTCTGACCACCGGTGTGGATAAACGTAATCTCGCGATCTCGCTTCTCCCGTATTTGTTTCATCTTTTGGTTTCTTTTTGTTTGTTTGTTTGTTGGCTTTCAATTCGCTCTCTCTTACTCGTCATTTTGTCTCCACACACCGTAATTACAATAGTATTTGTTTTTTTTCTTTTATATCCGTAATCTTACACATATACACTAGCTGGTTACAATAATTTGTGAAAAATATACATCAAAATTTTGTTACTTTTTACATCACAGATATTTTAATATAATATATCTTCTTTTAATTCTTAAAGATTTCTTTTCCTCCCCGTTTTCGACCAATCCGTCTCTCGCCGGATCGTTTCAGCGTATCGCCCGCGACGTAAAAGGAGACGGCCGGAAAATCTACGAACGCGAAATCATTCCTCTGCCGACGTATCTCCCGCGAGAACGAATTTTGAAATGCCTTTGAAGAAAAGCCGCGTTTGATCCGATGAAATCTGGCCTGCGATTTCGAGAAGCCGATTCCACGACGCTGCCGCTACGTCGTGTGTATTAATACAATCCTTTAGTTCCGTGCTAACTGGATTTCTTATTCTCGTCCCGCCGTCTCCCTCGAAGAAAAAAAAGGAAAAAAAAAGAAGAACGTAAATCGACACTTCTCTCTACAGTCGCGTTGGCAACGATATCTGCCCTAGCTTATGCGACCTCGTTACATCCACCCTAACACTCCTCTCTAGCTATTTCTTTCAAAGAACGAATTTCGATAGCGACAATTTTCCTAAAACCGCTGTACACGATAACCAATGGACAGAATCTGTCCGTACGCCGATAATGTTTAAAATCACAGAATGTTGTCCAATTTTATACCTCTTACGTGAATATTTGCCCGCAAAAATAGAGAAGCATCTCTTTCATTTTTCTAGAAAATTTGTTTTCCTCTCTTTTCACGTGTGTTTTGTCAATCGTAGCAATCGGTTCATCGATGTCCATCGTTTCGGACACCAGAACGAAGAAGTCCCGAATTCCTCGAGCCGAGAACCAATCGTCCCTCGGTCTCGTCGATCGAAATCGCTGTGGCAGACACGTTGACGCGACTGTGTCACTGGGAAATCATTACACGGCAGCCTCGTTAATTACGCCGTTAGCGCCGATCGTCCCAATTGTCGCGATTCAGTCGTCCCGTTCTTAGCGAACGCGGACGAGTCTCGTAGCTCTCGCGTGTCTAATTCGCGCAGGAGTCGAGGCTGTCGTCGTCGAACCAGAAATTTCCTCTTCCACCACCCCTCTCCCTTCCGGAAACCTCGCGGATCGATCCCACGAGGCAAATCCGCGATTACCATTTTTGATTATCGTCTCTACGCGAATTCTCGAGAAGTCATTTTGTGCGTTGTGCATCACCGAATCGAAAGTAACAACAAAATTTCACACTGCTATCATCCCCTTTCCTGTCTTTTCCTTTCGTTTCTTCTTCTTCTTCCTCTTCTTTTCTTTTCCTTTTTTTTTTCTTTACTTTTAATGTGTTCGAAAGAACGAACGAGAGCAGCGTCTCGCGCGCAACATTTTTCCGACAGGACATTTGCCGAAACCATCGAACGAACGTCGAAGCTCGAGAAATGGACGAGCGGAGGAAATCTCCGACGACGATGAAGTCGTCGATCTCGCGGACATAAGTCTAATTGCGGCGTCGCGCCTCTCGTTTCCCTCGGTTGTAAAAGCCGCGGGAAGCTACCGTGGAACCGCGCGTGGATCGACGACGACGGATATCGACTCCTGGTTAGAGAACGCGTGCAGAACGTCGCGACGTATACTTTTTTGTAACTGTAATTGAATTAACGACAATCATAATTTACGCACGTTTTACAATCATCCGCACGATAAATATCCATTTTTCACATCTAACGATAAATCTTTCGTAAAAGGGTACTATCGGGAGTCTCTGTTGTCCCGGGTGTGTCGGTGAACTGGATTTTTGCAAGGTAGAAAGGTGAAGAGGATTCGATTAAATCGGGGGAGGGGGTTAGAGGGTTTTGGGGGGTAAGAGTAAAGTTAGAAAGGCAAGAGGGATGAAGGAATGGGAGTTAGGGTAAAGGGCGAAGGGGAAGAGGAAGCAGGAAAAGAAGGCGGTAGTTGGAACGAGTGTAAGAAATATCCTTCCCTTCCTTTTTTTTTTCTTTTTTCTTGTTGGTGTAGTGCCTGGCGAATGTTTAGAAAAAGGTGTCCTTTCCTTTTTGTTTTTCTTTTCTTTCGAGGTATCGTGTAGGTAAGATCACACCGAACAATTTACACTTTGACGCGAAGCGGGTAGTCGGCTGGTGAGTGATTAAAAAGGGGTGTGTTAGTGGATACAGGGTTAGAAGGAAGGTTTTAATTTACGTTTACACACAATCATGATTAGTGCTTTGCTTTTCACTTGTGTTTTTCTGCTGTTCAGCTTCGATATTAATTTTTTTTTTATTCTTTAACCCTAAGGAGACCTTAACGTTTACACTCAATAACTTGTTATTTTTTTTTTAATAGTTTTCCGACGCGCTTCTCTGCGTGGGTGCGCTTCACCCGTCTTTTTTTTTTCATTCCCTTTTAGAGTTTTCCTCCTTAATTCACGGTTTTTTTGCTTTAAGTTTAGGGGTGGATAAATTTTAAGTTTAGTTCCAAAAAACACCGAGAGAGTAGCCTTGCTTATACGATTTACTTTTTTTTCGTAAGGTATAATTTTTTTTGCGTTAGTAAGGAATTTTTGCTTTTTTTAAAACACCGAACATACATGCCTTATACTTTATGTACAGCCTAGAGTCTTTCAGTCGTTACTTTACTTAAAGAGAGTCATGAGATGAGTGCGTGAATTATCCTTTCGTTTCCTCTGTCCTCGTCCTTTTTTTTTTTTTTTAGAATCAGAACTTGTGAAATCCTCCTCGACACGCGAGAAAGACGGAAAAATCGTGGCCCGCGGTGTGTACTTTAACGCGCCGAACTTCACTATTTTCCTCGAACGTGGTAACGTTTTCTACGCGTGTTTCGCTAAAACCAGTCATTCTGCTTTCGAATTCGCCTGCTTTCATCGATTTCGTCTTGGTCCAACGTCCTGCTCGGCTACTACAACTAGCGAAACGACGAAATCACCACTTCTTCCCTTCTTCTTCTTTTTTCGTATTTATTTTAACGTGTTCATTCTATATAGTCAAGGATCTCCTGTCGAACGGAATTCTAATTTGAAATACGAGAAGATACCTCGATAGTCGCGCGCACGACGCTCATGGATAACCTGCGAAAAAATTAGTCAAAAGAGGAGGGACTGGCGTTCTTCGTGTTGTATCGTCGCTCACCGCGACCGAAACGATCGTGATAGAATTTCGAAATTTCCATTCCAAGAAGTTTTGACGTTCGCTGGCCTTTTTGCTCGGAAATTACATGATTTTCCGAAGCTTCCATCGGCTGTGTTAACGTCAAAGACGCAGATCAAGTACGTAACGATGACGATGGTGATAAAACGTTGTATGAATTTTGCAGAGATTAATTTCTAAGGATCAGTCGCATCGTTGAAGAGAAGCGAAAGAGGAATTCTTTCTCCGATACTCAACGATGATGCTCTCTAGAACTCGTTACGGTAGCTGCCGTCGTCATAGTCACCGTCACTGCCACCGTAATAGCCGATAAGAAGCTTCGAAAAGTCGTTTAACGTCCGGAAAGAGTATCAACGAACATCGGAACGTGTTTCTTGAAATGGAAATCTCTGAATTCCCTTATTAGAAATAACGATGGCCGATCTTTTCGACGCGTTCGAATTTCATCTAATTTTGCTACGTTTTTTCTTCGACGTTAAAAGGAAAACACCATCGAGATACAATCGTGTGGTTCGTAGAAAAAGTCAGACAGGAAGAAACTAATGTCCGATCGTACGAAACGTCGTCACACTCGCCTGATTTATCGTACGTTTCGATCGTCGACCACGCGGATCGACTATCTAGAAGAGAAAGGGAACCGATTCCTCCCAGAAGCGAGTGGGATGTTTTCCTCGTGAAGAAATTCTACGAACGCCGCCATTACAGCTGCTTCTCTTCCTCTACGCGATAGAAAATTTGCAATTCGTATCAAAATGCGTGGCGTTGCCGCGCGTAAGAAAAATTTTTGCACTTCGGTAATGAACAACCGAGTGGAGAACAAGCGCACGCCTATACATATAGCAATCCTTTTTCTCCAAATGCCTTATATACATCTACGCGTTTCCATTTTCTCTTTCAACGTTTTCCTCGTACATCTCCCCTCGCCGC